ACCAAGCGAATAGATCAAAACTGCGTTGATTACACCTCAAATACATTATGCCATAATTTTTTTCTGACTTGGATAAGGGCAGTGTGGGAGTCAGTCTACATTCACACACCATCTTGTCAATTTTATTCAGGGTAAACCACGGGTGACCTTGTCTTTGACATTGATAGTAGTAATGATTGTAATTCCTGAGATTACAAAAGACTGGACATCGAGCGGTCGAGCAACGTAGGAAGACATCGTTACAAGTTTCTTTTTTGGATTTTAATTCTTCCATGGCTGTCTGGTGTATGGGAAATGGATAGCTAACTTCCACACTGTCCGACAATTCTTCCAGAGAAGAATAATGGTAAGTACCTGTACCTTCGATACCAGGTACGATTTCTCCTTCTTCCACCGCATCAACCCATGTCTTCTCTGTGCTTGGATCTGGCTTGATCGATTCTACCAGTGTGTTCAATTCCTGTAATGGCATCTGTATAGAGGCTGATTTCTCTTTAGGTTTCACAACAAACCTGGGTAGTTCTCCCCCATAATTATCGTGCATTGGTGTATCAGGAACGTTATCTTTATCCATGAAATCATGGTTATTCATAGAAAGTGGAGGGATCACGATAATTACTTTCAACTTGTTCTTGGCTTTAGTTTTTTTCTCTTTCTTGATATAAGGTTTCTTAACTTGTCGTCTTGGTATCTTTACTGACTCCATGTTGCTGACTTCTTGCTGACTTCTTACTTCTTAATTCTACAAGATAAAATTGTGACTTACCTTGCGCTACTGCTCTGTATTTACTGAAATACTCACAATACCATTCCCCTGATTGGTTCTTTTGCTTGACGTTTGATGGACAGCTACTTTACACAATACAACGACGCAATGACTCAACAAAAATTTTGAGTGACAGGGTGTAAACTTTGTATCCTACTCAACCACGGATCTTCGTTAAGTAGGTGTACAGTAGTTGACATCTAGGGCACTCCTTAATTTCTTTGATAGCTTTACACATATGGTAACATGCATTACACCGAAACCACTTGAGGGGTAGCATCCATTACATGAATGAAGTAGAACGCTTGCCTTTTGAATCGTACCATAGAAATTGTTCAACACATGGACCCATAGTTCATAGTAATTGACATCCACAATCACACTTTCTTTTCATTTTGTTTCAGAGATATCCATAGGTTCTTCATCAATAAGTTTACGTAACTGATAATGACATATCGGACATCGCATCAGGCAATAATGTGTGAAATACCAACACTGTATACACTGAAACCATGTTACAGGCGGCGTAGAATTCCATCCATAACTCCAGCTTACGTGTTTGTCCTTCACACTCATCCGTAACTGTCAGATCTTTCATTTTCTGTGTTATTTTATCTATTAACTTTGGCATATAGGCTTCTCTCAACCTTCTTATTCGTCCACTCCACAACACTTCTAGTCGTATACTTCTTTTTTCTTACACGAATTACATTTCCGACTCTCGCATGTAAAATCGTATGGGTAAATAAACTTAGGCATTGTTGATCTCTAACTCTAACTCTAACTCTACTCAGAAAAATTTATAGCTCATATGGACACCCATTGACACGTGTCATGACTCAGCAAAAAGTAACAGCTTTTCTTAGGCTTCGCCGCTGCCGCCGCCGCAATCTTAAATTTTACAACACGTCCACCTACAAGTCACGTCTCCAGGGATTACACTCATTTAGACGCCATCTTTGATTCTATTGTTCTCATCTGCTACACTCTTGGCCTGGACACATCCTCCCATATTTTCTACCATCTACCCCTATAACCCTTTGTCTACACCCTACCGTGTCCAGGCTGACACTTTTAATGACCAGACAGACGCTCTATACTACTTTTGCCGCCTGGGAAATATCCTCAACATGTCTTGCAGAGGGGAATTCACGTTTCTGAAAACTGCACATCTTGGCCACATGCCCCTTTTTCTGGCATTTGTAGCACTGCATCGTTAAACCGGCACCCCGACGATTGATGTCCTTGACTACAACGAAAACAAACGCCACGGTCTTCGGGCGGTTGCTTCGAACTGTTGAAGTTGCCAACTTTATTTCCAGATTCGTCTGAGAGCGAGCTGACGTCACGAAAATCGTCTCTATTGGCCATCGCCATGTCCATGGATTGTGCCGTTTCAAGCGCTTTCTGAACGATTAAGTCGCTCACTGCCAACTATTTCTCCTGAGTTTAGACGGTTTCAGCCCACACACTAATCGATCTCGCAAGTCTTTCTCCAGAAACAAACCACATTTCAACGCAAGCTGCTTTAGTTCAACCACAAACTGAGCGATCGATTAATTCTCAAGCTGATTACGATGGTGGAACTTCAAGTGTTCCGCCCCAAGACTAGGCTTCGGAGAATAATGAGCGGTTAAAATTTCTTTCAACGCCTCAAAAAACATAGTTATCTTTCTTTATAATCCTGTGTACTCACGAAAAAACAGATTACCAGCCAAGAAACCAAAATCGATTTTCAATTTTTATAAGAGCAGTTAGACCCAGCATCTCTGTTTTTCCACCTTTGGGCCGGCAGAACTTTTTGCAGATAGCATTTTTGTTCCGTGATGCAGACGGCACTTTTGTGCCCATTGGTGTTAATTGAAATTACCCTCAAAATTTGTATTTGAGATTTTCATGCGTACGGCTTTCTTTGGTTATTATGACCAGTCATTTAAGCGTTCGTCCTCACCTCTAGAGGCATCCTTCACAATGAAAAATTGGCCCAGGGTTTATACCAGGAAGAGACAGTGTATTCTGGTTCCTTTTTCATCAGTGTATAAGAGCGGTTACCAAGATGATGGCACGTTCAAAAAAGACCTTTATTTACTTTCAAGATTGTTATTTTTTTCTTCAAAACTCAGATTAATTACTTAAAATAATAAAATTGGCCCAGGGATTAATAAAATTGGCCCAGGGTTTATACCAGCAGGAGACAGTGTATTCTGGTTCCTTTTTCATCAGGGTATAAGAGCGGTTACCAAGGTGATGGCACGTTCAAAAAAGACCTTTATTTACTTTTAAGATTGTTATTTTTTTCTTCAAAATTCAGATTAATTACTTAGGAAGGTGTTTTGTTCTTTTACTAAAAGTGAGGTTAAACGCTGTAATTGACGCGTAGAAATATCTTAAAGATATTCTTTGCTAGTGAAGCCGTTATAGAAATTCCAAATAAATGTCTCTCTCAGGAACAGAAAAGAGCAATCAGTTTCCCTGAGTCGTTGGTCAATAGCGAAAGTCTCAATGCAAATGTTGGGAATAATCAGAAGATGAATTTCTGGCTGTCAGTCGGTTTTCTTCTTGTTTGCTAATTAGACTTAATTTATGCAGTTACAACCATCCGAGAGCAAGGTAAATTTGTGAAAGAACGGAGAAAGATAAATGTATCTCACCAGAAATAAGGAAATGCCCAAATAAGGAGATGTCTAAATTTACTTATCGTGTTTGCTCGCTCCTTTCTGAGATTTTTTGGCAAATAAAACTGAACCAGCCTTGTATATACAGCTAATCATTCGCTTTCGCAATATAAAAACAAATGAAATGAGTCAGTTGGCATGGTGACAATTTCCAGCTTTGCAATGAAGGAAGACGTAAAGTGAACCCTGGGTGGGGCTTCTCATCCAATAAAAGTGACTCAATTTGTAGTAACACACTAATTGTCCAAATAGTTAAGGTTTAACAACAACAAACATATGAAACATATGTGTGAACTGCGGTTATGAGACGTATATGAGAACGATCCTTCGCAGTAAAGCACTATTTGAGCAATAGTGAAAATCAGACCTGAAAAAAATTTCAGGCCTGTACGGGATTCGAACCACTGACCTCTGCGATACTAGTGCAGCGCTCTACCAATTGAGCTAACAAGCCAACTGGGAGCAGGCCATCAAATTAATTCGACATAAACCCGTAGATGATAAATCAAACAACAACAAACATATGAAACATATGTGTGAACTGCGGTTATGAGACGTATATGAGAACGATCCTTCGCAGTAAAGCACTATTTGAGCAATAGTCAAAATCAGACCTGATTCAGGTCTGATTTTCACTATTGCTCAAATAGTGCTTTACTGCGAAGGATCGTTCTCATATACGTCTCATAACCGCAGTTCACACATATGTTTCATATGTTTGTTGTTGTTTGATTTATCATCTACGGGTTTATGTCGAATTAATTTGATGGCCTGCTCCCAGTTGGCTTGTTAGCTCAATTGGTAGAGCGCTGCACTAGTATCGCAGAGGTCAGTGGTTCGAATCCCGTACAGGCCTGAAATTTTTTTCAGGTCTGATTTTCACTATTGCTCAAATTGTGCTTTACTGCGAAGGATCGTTCTCATATACGTAGTTAAGGTTTGTTTGAAAGGTTCGTTGGTCTCCTAGTATTGGGTCCTATCGTGTATATCCCCCTTTCCTTCGCCCATTGTTTTGAAAACTCAACGATGAAACAGAAACTGAAAGGATCCTCACGTGAAGGGGGGAGAGGGTGAGAGAGCAAGTTAAATACGAATGACCTTTGACCATGTGCCTCACTAATTAGCCACAATATATTTTTTAAGAAAACCTCGTTCAAACTATAAGTTTTTTCACATTTTTTTTCCGAAAATTTCGAGACATTAACCTGTTTTATTCAAAACACGTCATTCTATCATCTCGATCAAGTGTGTAAACAGTTGATAAACAGTCCTCTAGTAGCTAAGCCCCATACGTTGAACTCATGCCGGGAGATACTTACAGTGCACATGTTTTTCCGTCCTGTCGTGTACATAGAGGACAACTTGAAGGCCATTACGCAGTCTATACCTGTAATTGAGTTTCACCAGCCAACTAAATCCTAGAGAATCTTAATTCAGTTATGACAACCACTGAGAACCTCATCAATAATCATGGGGTTTGAACGCAGCTCAATCTTCAGCTGTCATATTTTGCCTGATGTTTCCCCAAAGTTTAAAACTCGCTGTGGCCGTTCGCTGGAATTATAACCTGCTCTCTGTATTCTACTGCCTCGTTGCCGTCGTTTTGGCTTCCCTAATACCAGAAGGACAAGGTAAAATTTTCCTTCACTTAGATCTTAGCTATATTTTGGGAACCTTTTAAAGTTTTCCGACATATTTCTTTTTATTCTTCATTGACAACCAGTAAACCTTGAGATACCCGCACAAGCTTCCCTAATTGTATTAAATCTGATATACTATTTGATGAGACAATTTGCAAATTTTACAAGAATTTCTAGCAATTTTTGAGTAATTTTATAACATGATGTTTGAGGTAACATGATCGGGAACGAGTCAAAGTTTAAAATTTAGGAAACATGGCTGTTTGAACTAACTAAAATTGAAATTTTTCTTTAAAAAAACACTCACTCAGTTCGACTTTTTTTATCTTGCACAATGAATGAGTTAAAAATCGATAGACCTTCGTTCTTATTTAACGATGACGGCCTCATTTGAACTCAGCTGAAATGGCTTGGCTTGTTCAAACGAAAAATTTAAAAGCAGTAAGACTTTCCAAGTTTTTTTTTAAATAACGTTTCGTGAAAATATATAACTTTCACAAAACCTACTTGAAGATTTAAAAAAAAAAAGAAATAGCATTACTTCAAACTTGGCACTTAACCATGTTATCTTTGGTGAAACCTGGATTTTTGAACAATTTGGCCTCTTAGGTGATATAAAATCGAAATCGAGGGCTGAATTCGTGTTTCCTATAGAGCTGGTGGAACTATGACATAAATTATTGATGATCCACCCCAGAAAGGAAGTTCTAACAAAGCTCGTGGGGAAAAAAAAGAAGGTTTAGACAACAGTTTTCTTAACGAAGACGACAGTTGACGTTTTAGGATTTATTGTTCGTGTTTACTCAATGATGCCCTAAAACTGCGCATGCTCGAGGTTAAAGTTCAGCGTATCGCCTTTAAGTGACTGTTAATACACACTACAGAAGGAAGCTTTTGTTACAGTTTTAGAGTTGAAAAGCCAGGATTTAAATAGTGTTAAAAGAGTGAGTCATTATTGCTTTACATGCCCAGGAGTTCCTTGCTAATGAGTCATACGCGAGTGGGTTTGTTTTTCATAATACGCAGTATGTTCGAGAGCTGAAGTTATGCGACATAAAAACACACGCTTTGCATGAATTAACCGGTTTAAAAAACTCCGCCGACGACAACATTCCAACAATAAAATGTTTTAAGGAAACTAAACATACTCAGACGTTTTTGTCTGAGCATGTTAAGCTCCTCAACCGATACTTAACAGATGAAGAAGCCTTGACTGTGCTCTGTTCTGTTGTGAAGCACGCACCAGGCGGCTAAAGCACGAAAGAAGTGTAGTGAGAAACAAGAGAAGTAGTCGAGTGTTTCTCCGCACCTCTGGAGTGGGAAGAAACAAACATGTCAAGCCGTTTAAGTTCACAAACCATCCAAGTTTACAATCTAAAATTATAGTATACAAACTGAAATAGTTCGGCGGGCCGAATTTAACACTTTTGTCTGATGTGTTTTGAATTACTCTTAATACGAGTAGGGATCTCAGCGTGAAATGTTTTGTGAAATCTGGCCCAATTGTGGCTCATAAAAACAAGAAAGGTTTTCCACATGATAATTAGTGAAACAAACTACTCTAGGCGTGAGTTTTGTGGCTTATAAAAACAAGAAAGTTCTTTCATATGATAATTAGAAAAAAAATGCTCAAGGCGTGTGTTTCGTGAATGAACGTCGGCCGAATTCACAGGAACAAGAAGATTGCTCGGAATGACAGTGCCGAAAATCTCGACTACTGCGACTGATGTGTCCTTCTACACGACATATCGGGAAGGATATCAGAGCAAACTCTCAGTTCAGTACACTCAAAGGGCGGTCGATGTAATTTCTGAGACTTGCTTCACTGCGATGACCGAAGATCGCCTTGATGAGCTATGGACTTCAGCATGATCGCAGTCGCTCTGACATGATGAGGTGTGTACATTTTAAACGTTATGTCAGTTTGGATATATTTTCAAATTTCATCATACCTGTTCTGTTGTGTTCTATTTTAATTGTTAACACGATGCTTTACATACCTTACGAGTGACAGCTGTGTTTTATTTTTATCACCGCATGTAAGTTTACAATCTAACTGAGCGTGACGTGGTGAAAACCTTCCAAACTCAGATTGTCCATTCGGTTTTTTTTTTGGGGGGGGACTTTCGTCTAAACACACGCTATAATAATGAAAATTACGTGCATGCATGTTTTTCTGAGTTTTATAGATGAACGTCAATGTTTTTTTTCTTTCTCTGTTTTTAAGCTTTGTAAAACCTCCGCCTCCTTTCCATGAAGGTTCTTATGGTCCGCTCCACATCTTCAATGTTTGTTAATGAAAATGTTGAGCCTGTTTATTCATATGTCACAAAACTGAAAGACTGAAAATGGCTAATCAATGTTCCTCACTCGTCGTCGTGTTTTTCATGCTTTCACAAGTGTTGTATAACGTTGCCAGTCAACGGTGTGGAAACGGTAGCGACATTTACTCCATTTACCAAATGATGCTCAAGGGTCACACGTTTAAGACGTTCAAAACTACACCAGGTAAGCTGGAATGCCGTGAAGCTTGCCTCGCTGATGTCAAATGCCAAAGTTATAACGTCCCCATGTCTATTTCAATTTGCGAGTTAAACAACAGCACTAGGGAAACCAGACCGGAAGACTTTGTTCAAGACAAAGAGAGATACTACATGGCGAAAGGATCAAGACGAGGTAACGAGGCTTACAGATATAATTTTAGCTAATGAAAACGTGTTCCTCATCTAAACTTCCTTTAAAGAATAACAATCATAGATCGTGTGTTGATCGTTACAGCCAAGCATTTGTTATGTTTTTCATGCTAAAAGGTATTTCTTCAATTCCAGTCCCTCTCGGCTCTATCCCTGAGCCGCCTGCTGATTCATGTATAGAGACTAAGGCGAGTGAAGGAGGACAAGCACTCAGCGCTAATTATTGGTTGGATTCCACTAGATCTGGGAACTCTATTCTAGCTCGTTGCGACATGAAAACAGAAGGTTAGGAAGACAAACGTTTCCCTATACCTTTGCTTGTGTCCGAGTTAATGTCCTTTACAGATTTTTTCCCGCCTAGTTGCAGATTACTGCATTAAACACGAATGCCAAAACAATGCAAGATGCGTAAACGGTCACTTGAAATACACCTGTGTTTGCAACTCATCCGGGTGGACAGGAAACCATTATGAACAAGGTAAATTCAATCGTGATGCATCAGTGCAAGTCAGCTTGGCTAAACATTTTAGAAATTTCTAAATACTTATTTCTAATCACTATCCATAACAGTAACTAGTTGTAACATTTCATTGTAATTTTTTTTCATGCTAACAGCTGTTTCCTCACTACGTCAGTAAAAATTTGGCCTTTTATTTGCCAAATATTCACCGACACAAAATAGTGGAAGAGCAGAACAATATCAAATTCCCACAACATGGTGGGATCAGAGCCCCGTGGGCCAGGAATCATGCATTGTGATTGCTTTATTATTCCACTGCCTCTGACTCTTTCATTCTTCTTTGTCTTATTTTGCTGATTTTGCAGGAATATATTTTCTAAGCGGCAGTGGGCAATTTTGGCAATTCCCGAAAAATTTTGACTATTTCTAACTAGTATCATAACTTTCACTTTTATTGTGTTTTTATTGCGCAGGATTTACAGCTGTGTTTACAAATCTTGGTGGGAGGGTACGTCAGGGTCCAGACTCAATCGGTAGTTACTACACAGGTCAGGATCATGACGGACAAGTTGCACTGTCCAGCGGTATTCAACTGTGGACCGTGCCACACACTGGTGAATACAGAATAGAAGCAATAGGAGCCTCAGGGGGGTTTGGCAAGGACAGTATCATCAAGAACGGAGGAAGAGGGGCACGAATGATTGGAAACTTTCATTTGACCAAAGATGAGATCATACGTGTCCTTGTGGGTCAAAAAGGGGAAAGAGGGACTCATTACGAACAAACTGCTGGAGGCGGAGGAGGTACATTTGTAGTGAGAGGAAGCAACACGCCTTTGATCATAGCTGGAGGTGGAGGGGGAATTAAAGCAATGTCAGAACAAAATATGGAATGTGATGGGTCCACGAACACCACAGGGAATGCTGGGAACAACTTGCCATTGGGTTCGGAAGTAAGCAACGGACATGGAGGACATACTAATAAGGGGGATTCTGGTAGGTGGAGAATGTTTACAAATGTGTTTACATAAACTGATCATGAGTTTTTGTCTCGTTGCATTCCACTGCCACCTTCAGGATCTTCAACTGAATTACAGAGAATCGCTGTTAGTCAAATTTTTTAGGATTTGCTAAAGCCGTAATTATCAAAATGATTAATGTTAATTTTGAAGTTTTTCTTTGATAACACCTTTGGAAGCGCCTCATATAAGAATTAGAATTCTGCTTAATTTGGCTTTTTCCTTTTTCAAATTTCGCACATATTTTTTTTTATTAACGAGATGACTTCGAAACAGTTCACACGGCTTTTCATTCACTAATTGCGGATCTGGATTAAACAAAAGCACTGAAGAAAGAGTTAGTTGCAGCATTCTAACATTAACTTGTCCCTATAAGCTTTTCTATTACCAACGATATCCAATAAATAAACCTCCCAAATATTGAGAAAAAAACTACGGTGCTATTTGAAAGAGAACCACTGAACACTTTTCGACTGCATTATAGGTGATGGTGGCGGCGGCTTCTACAGTGATGGACAAAATGCCTCAACCCGGGATGGCAAAGGGGGAAAAGGATATCTTGAGGCGGGGGAGGGTGGAGATTATCGCGGTGGGTTCGGGGGTGGCGGTGGTCTTCGTGTTTACAACAAGGGACCGGGCGGAGGTGGAGGTTACTCAGGGGGAAGTGGCGGAGCTAATAAACATATTTCCTGTGGAGGAGGGGGAGGATCTTTTAACGATGGAACAAATCAGCGAAATGAATGTTGCTATAATAGCGCTGGTCATGGTTGGGTAAACATCACATTTCTCCAATGAAGAGCACAGGCAACACTTTTGCTTAAGTGTAGTGGTAAATTACTTCTTAAAACGTAACCTTAATGTTAGCACAATTGCAAATTTGTAATTGGTCATTGAGTAACTGGTAAAGAATTAGAACATATCTGTATATTGCACCAAGGAAGGCTGTGGAGACAGTTCTTAATATTCTTGTTAATTTCAATTACTGTATCTCCTGGAATAAACACCTGGGAACATATTTAAAGTTTTGGTTGAAAGGAAAGGTGCTTATTGGAAGAAGAGAGCGTAATCAAGAGGGAGGTGCTTATAAAGAAACTTTTGACCTGTATTGACTCCATTGTAGTTAAAGCACGAAAAGTTGCGTGTAAAGTAGCAATAGAAACAGGTTTTCCTTCTATCTCTACTATTTGAAAAAGTGAGAGAGGAGTGGGGCACTTATTCGAAGGGGGGTGCTCGTTTGTCTCTGTAATTGGCGCTGGTTGCAAATTATCGTCAAAGTGAGGGTTTGATTTGTGATACTTTCAACTCCTTATCGTTATTAGCACCAGAATCCATTAGTGAAGTTTTACAATTTTTGTTACAATTCCTAGTCAACTGAAAGGTTTTTCTCGTATTCACCTTGTGCAGGTAGTACAGGTACTGCTGCAAAATGAAAAAAAGTTTAACACTAAGACCAAATTGTTGATGTGGCTAGTCTAATGTTGCGTTACGACAGGTTGATGTACATGGGCGGAAGGGGGTAAAGGGGGGGGGGAAGGTAACAAATGAAACATCTCAAAGATAGGGATGACTGAAATACGTGAAATACATTAGAGTGAACTGAGTTCGAGTAAGCGGGGTTCTGCTGTATTTCAAACGAGACTCAGTTGTCGTCTCAGTAATCAGAAGGAATCATTGTGGATCTGCGGGTTCCTTTTCATCATGCAGGGAACTAGAAGTGGTTATATATGCCAAGGTGATGGCACGTTCAAGTTTACGCAAAACTTGATTTGCTTGTTAGATTACTATATTTCTGCTATCCTCATAACGGCTACAAATTTAATATCTTGGAAATGTTCTTTGCTTCTAAATACATGAAAACTTTGAAAATAAGCACTGTGGGAGCTAATAAAGGAGCTGTTAGTTTTTGTGATGACAGAGTAGTGATTGCGCATAATCTTGATTTAAGTCACAACATTTTGCAAACTGCAGTTGGTTTGAATAAATAAATAGCCTTTTTTGCTGTTGAAAGTTATTTGTTGTTGTTCAAAGTTTTTATTGTTGTTTTTATTGTCGGTTTTTTGAGAGCTCTGGTTATAACAGGAGATTTTGTGTTTGAAAAATACAGAAATGGATTTGTTGCATCCACGCTAAGAGTTTCGTAGCTGTCAAAGCTGTCAAATACGGTCAACAGCCAAAGATAAAACTAATAGACTAATCCTGGGACAAATTCCTTGGAGGAGTGTAGGACGACCACTGCGAGTTCTCTGAAACAGCGTGATGCAAAGCATTTGCTAGCTCTAACATCCGTGCGCTTGACATGCTTGCTTCGTCCCCGATTATGACATCTACCTGCCGAAGCCTCTCCCCAACTCTCCCATCACTAATGGAACGAACGAACTATAAGATTTTCCAATGGCATATCTGCAGCGCCGAGACCATAATACGAATGATTGTTTCACCTTTTCTCGGGATATTTGACAGTTAAGTCCACGCGGGTTTGGATTTCATTTGAGATTGTTTCCGGTCGGATTAGACGCACCGACACCTGGACGGTGTTGTTTTGCGAGAGGACAAAGGTGACGACTCTCCCCTGCGAAATTGTCATTTATTTAACAGACGCGGTCGCCAAGCTTTTATATTTGAATTCCCGTAGTAAGGGCAAAAGGATTACGCCTACCTGCAAAGCGATTTTGCCGCAATGGATGGTAAAACGGAGCGGTTCTCGGAACGACGCAGCGGAATTTGAAAACTTTTGCCGCTGGAACGGGTAGGCTATAGCTAAGCGCTCTCGCGGGTGGAAATTTGAGGGAGATCGCTCGACTTTTGTGGAATTCATCGGCCTTTGAGTGGCGACGGTTGGTTTTCGGGACCGGTTGAAGTTTCCAGCCTTGAGTTATTTTATAGACAGTTCACCGGTAGCACCACATGCGTTACAAAGAAAGTTGCCAAAACAGAGTTAAAAGGGCCGTAAACGACAAAGCAGCTACGGAAAAAAGGAGAGGAGACTTCAAATGATACATTCCTCGCTTTTATTTTCCTTTTAAAATTTTTCTTAATTTTTTTTATAATTATTCCTATTTTAAAGTTGACTGGTGACACAGCGCGCGTTACAAAGCAAGTCGCTAAAACAGCGTTAAAACGACCGTTGGCAACAAAGCGGCTACGGAAAAAAAGTAAGGAGACTTCGCATGTTTTATTTCTAGCTTTCACTATCCTTCTAAATTTTTTCTTATCTTTTTTTTTTTAATTCGTCCTTTTCTTAACGGCCCACACGTACGCTTTTAATTCGATCTTAATATGTTAGTTATTGCCGTTAATGAACTTTACACCCCAAAGTCACACACAGTACGCTTTGGCCGCCTGTGGTTTCTCAAGCTTACAATAGTTCGTGAGTACGAAACGAGTTCGTACCAGACGAACAACGTTTCATTTTGTTGTTAAAACCGAACGACAAAACGACGAAACGAAAGACCCAATGATATTGACTGGATTTCAGCCAATCAGAGAACTCTATTCTAGCTCCGAGCTACCGTGAAACTAATCGTGAAACTAATTTAGTTTCAAGAGAAACTAATCGTTAAACTAATTAGTTTTACGGTAGCTTTGAGTCCAAATCCTCGGCCATGCTAGTAAATAGCCAACTGGTTTGCCTCCGGCCAGTTGGGATTCTTAACAATATTATGTTCAATTTGAATTATTTGTTTACAGCCCACAATGTAAACTACTGGGTTACCGGTAATTGTGTTAGCTACTAAAGTTTTTTTTTTTCTTTTTTTACTTGCGTGCGCAATTCATCCGTATGGACTGGAAACTATTGCGAAAAAGGTAACTTTATCTGAAGTATATGCCATACTTCCTTTTTAAACAAGGACGGCTTAGTAAGACAATCAGATCAAAACATATCATCAAAATCAGTGCCAAATGGCTGCAATTATTAAGTATAGACTCCCTCCAACCTGTGTTAAATGAGACTTTGTTTTCTTTTGTGCTAGTTTTGATTACCCTCTTCAAAGCCACGCAAAACTAATTTGGGAGCCGAGAAAGCTGTCTCGTACCAAGTTTACCAACGCCGTAGGCTCCTATTAATGTACTTGCAAGGAAGAATATTCCGGCGACGGACGCTCGTTTTCAGTTACATCATCAATGATTTAGACGATGTTCCTGTGTATGTCTTGATATTTTCTGCTGTTGGCTTACTGATAGAGTAGTCTAATGACCTATAAAAATTTTATTGCATTTATTCGCTGGGGGAAGGAGGAGAGGGGCAAGGTGTTCATGGTTACAGATGGCAGACGTTTTCGTAGCAGCAGTTATTCGAGAAGAAAAAAACATGTCTTGGAGAGAAAAGTATTTACGCTGTCTTCCTTGTTGCAGAGAAATTATGGTCTATTGCCAATTGTGAACATATTGT